TGGACGGTTTTAAATACTTAGTCTTATATTATCTTCACCCTAAGTTGCAGGATCATCGCCAGAACTGAAATATGTTTCTGCTACCCATCCCCACTACTAAGCTGTCAGTGTTAAGTCAAAACGATGATGGAGAAGAACGAGTTAGAGACCCTGACGATTCCATGGAAGGTGATGATGCATCAGTAGCTGATGAACAATATGACACGTGGTGGTTAAAGAGTCGTAACTACCAGTTTCTTGGTTAATTTTCCTCACAACTTTAACATGTGACACAGACTCATGATCAATTTTGTAATAGGTGATTGATATTAATTAACTGGATTATTTTACCTTAATTAATTTGTCATATTTAGTTTTTCATTAATAAATTAGTCTTTTTCAGATAAACTGTGGGTTTTATTGCTTTTATTATGTTCTTTTTCGATTCTGCATCCTAAGAAACATAGAAAACGACACCCCACTTGCTTGGATCCCATAAATAAAAATATTCTCAAAATCACTACCCCCATAAACTTAAAACTCCATAAAATGGTACTTCCACCCCCACAATCACTAGGGACTCTTTAGATTCCAATACCTAATGGTAATTACTACGTTTCCTGCAAGTTTCATGAATGGGATAATTTTTATGTTTTCTTAGGTGAGTTTTACCTGTACTACAATGGCCCTCCGGTAGACGACGATTCTGTGAATGTGGATGAGACTGAAGAATCCCTCGATCCCCTAGCTTAAACGACATGACCCACGTTTCTAATCATTAAAATTATTTTTAGTAATATTAACTTTAAAAACAGAAATGCAAATAAAACACTATTTGAATATACTGTTATTTTCTTTACCCTTTAGCTTTAAACGGTTAAGTCGTACAAAAAAATGCATAGTGTCATTTTTGTAGGGAATTTTGTCAGCTATAACTTTTGTATTTAACACTTTTCAATATGACTTACAGATTCCGATATATAAGCGAAAAACTTAAAAAAAAGTCACATTCAGAGCCCTTCCCTTAGTCAAGCTCGACCCCCACACATCAGGACTTTTTATTTTATTCAATCTAATGAGCAAGAGAAACGTTTAAACAAACTTCCAACTCTCCGGAAATCATTTCACCCGAATGGCAATTTTTTTGTTTTATTTGACTGGGCTATAAGGGGGGTGCAAGTTACTTTTCAGCCACCCTGTATATTGTGTAATGTTTATCATGCTATAATAATTTTGTTAAGGAAATGAAAATATTCCTAAACAGTTGGGGCCGTCGACTACCCTCACTTATGTGCATTACTTTATCATGCTATAATAATTTTGTTAAGGAAATGAAAATATTTCTAAACAGTTGGGGCCGTCGACTACCCTCACTTATGTGCATTACTTTTTCATTTTTTTAAATATGTACAATATTTATGGTCCATCTTGTTGTTACCTTTATTGTTAAGTTTTTAATTTTTCTTCAGAGTTTACCTTTTGCACATTATTCTCTTCTGTAAATTTGCTGTTCTTGGCTCCATACTATGTATTTATTTTGTAGTGTTTCTTAATTTTGGGTTTGCTTATTGTTAGTCTATACTTCGTTAATATTTATTGTTATTATTGTTCCTGCATTAACTAGTCTTTATTGCCACTTGCTGTGATATTTATCATATATTTTTTTCTCAACTTTGTTTCGTTAATTCTAAGAGTCACACGCATGTATTATAACGTCATCTTTTTTTTCCTTTGGCCACCTGTAAAAAATTTCAATGTACAATGTAAAATGGTGTTTGCCGTATATAAATAAAATAAAATAAATAAAAAACTGTGTATATTGCATCTAGAATATCAATTACAATAGAGTTTCAGATCACAGGTGATGTTAATGCTGATTCATTAAAAAAAGTCATTTGTAACCTCAGAACTTTTGCGTTTGTACAATTTTATAAGCTGGTGACAATCTAAGGATAAAGAAAGTAATTACGGTGATGAATGAGCTAAAATTAAGTCTAATACAAGACCGAAGCTTGTAACTGGAGCCGTTAGTCCAACGCTAAGACGTCATCGACGAAAATATTCTACTTCCCCTGGTTCGCTTAGACAGGCACGAAGAAATACTGTATAATCGAAAAGAACAATAACAATGTTACCTTGATAGATCTGATGCAGACAGACTACCTATAGCTATACAAAGAATTAAAATAAATATCTTCACATGATCGGATGACCTCTGAATGGACAAAATACACTGAAACGCGTAAAAACAAGCTTTAGCAGCTAAATATTAACAAAAAGCTATACAGTAGCCAAAAAACTTGGAACAAAGTCACAAGGTAGAATAATGATTTTGATTAATTATTTAGTGATACGCTACCTTCTCAAACTATGGTAACTATGGTACAAAGTAACAACATAGAAAACGATTTGGAAATCACCAAGTTCCAGTTAAAATGTGAAGGATGTGGACATGATTTCAATACGGAGCATAATGTGAAATGGTAAACTAGAAATTTAAGCACTCTTCTTCGATGGAAGGATACTGAATTCAGATTGTTTCTTTTGTATGTGGGACCTGTTGTGCTGAAGGGAATTTTAGATTGTAATCGCTATACGAACTTTCTCGAACTTCATGCTGCAATGACGATTCTTTTGAATCCTGTTTTGTGTAGAAATGACGATAACCATGTAATTTCCCGAAAAATTATGGTTCATTTTGTTAAATCAGCTGCGGTTTCATATTGGAAACAGTTAATTATGCACAATTTTCATGGGCTTATCCACTTGGTTGATGATGCTGATAACTTTATTAATGATATTTGAAGGGTTTCCTCTGAATGACATATCAGCCTTCCAATTTGAAAATGTTTTGCAATCCCTCAAAAAAGATTTTCAAAAGATTGAAAGAGAGACTTATCCTATAGAGTAATTCAGGGGTCAATGATAAGCCATCACCATCTTATCCATATTTTACGAATCGTACAATCTACAATGATGGCCCACAGTCACAGCTTTTTGCATTGTGGCCGTGATTTGTGCACCATATCGAGAGCCCTTCGTAAACATTTGGGATTATATTTGTAAAAACTGGGTTTATTTGTTTTAAGAGTATTTAAGTTGGTACCATTGCAAAGAAATACTCATTCAGTTTAATTAACTAATTAAAACCTCCAGCAACACAGCTGGATAAAAAAAATTAAACAAATTGATTGAAAAAATGTTTAGAACTGCTGAAAATTGATTGAATATAATTGAGCCTATATTACTACGCCAAAGGTGACTATGGCGTATGTAGAGTCGTGATCTTACGTTATGTAAGGGTAGGGTCAGTCGCACCGGCAAATTGGACTGTCCTCTTCTGATTTATCTGATTCCTTTATATCCTGCGTTGTAGCCTCTCTATAAATTGATTGTCCTTCCATTAGTCAACAAAATAGTTCCTTGGAATTACAGTCCTTAAAATGTACTATCTGACGACATTATTGTGATTGCTATTAAATAATATTCCATTTTAATTGGATGACTTTATTCACTCGAGCATATATCCTTCACCACTTTCTATTCGAATTTAGCAATGTCATAATATGAAGAATCGTCAAAACATTATACTGCCCTGACAAGGAAAAACGCAGTATCTGCAAACTTTTGACATATTAAAATATGCATATCACTGAACTCAGAAAATTAAGCTATATCTGATTAGCTTGGTAAAAATGCCGTATCTTTTTTCTTTATAGGAAATTTCGTTAAGTAAAACACAGTATCTGCATGTTGCTGTGACTATTCTTAAGAACAATACAGTAAATACAGTTTGCTTACGAAAAACGAAGTACATAACATACAGTTACTGCACTTCTCCTAAGCAGTGTGTAGATACTGCATTGTTCCTAAAGACTACAGCTGTTTCCTTAAATATTTGCAGCTTTAAGCTGCACAGTTGTTAGTACCTTCGGAGGTTTTTCTTGTGTAGTTTGTTTTAGGTTATGTAACCAAAATGTTAAGTGTGTGTTTTAAAGATATTTTATCTAAAATCAGTAATTACATTTCAGTAATTATTAGCATATTATAATATAACAGTCGTGGTAAATACTTGCTTAGTTTAGTTCAGAAATAATCTGAATAGAACAGAACAGAAAGTCCTGAAGCAGGTTGTTCCTTAGATGTTGAAAATGTGTTTCAACAAACTAGCCGAAGTAATATTGAAAGTGAAGTTATAATAGACCAAGATCTATTAAATCTTGAACTGGAAACATTACCAATATGGACGGAATATCTTCTTCCGTCCATATTGGTAGTGGAGGAACATTGTAATTGAATTAGGCCTACAAATTCTATTTCCAATTCTAACCAGTACTGGACCAGTATCCAACCAGTACTGGACCAGTATCTAACAATATTAAGTTATAAAGAATACTTTCTCCAAATACAATGGTATAGGGGAAGAAAGTAAAAACATAGAAAATGATTTGGGAAATCACAAAGTCCTAGTTGAAATATGAAGGATATGGACATGATTTCAATACGGAGCATAATCTGAAATGGAAAACTAGGAATTTAAGCACTCTTCTTGGATGGAAGGCTACTGAATTCAGATCGTTTCTTTTGTATATGGGACCTGTTGTGCAGAAGGGAATTTTAGATTGTAATCGCTATATGAACTTTTTTGCACTTCATGCTGCAATAACGATTCTTTTAAATCCTGTTTTGTGTAAAAAAAACGATAAAAGTGAAATTTCCCAAAATTGTTTACTTCATTTTGTTAAATCAGTTGCGGTTTTACAAGGAGAACAGTTAATTACGCGCAATTTTCATGGACTTGGACTTGTCCACTTGGTTGATGATACCGATAACTTTATTAATAATATTAAATGGGCTCTGGATGACTTATTAGCCTTCCGGGATGAACATTTTTTATTTTAAAATTTGTTCAAGTTTCACTTTTAGATTTAGTACGCTCATTAGGTTTTATATTTTTACCCAAGCGTAGGTATTTTATTAATAATGTAGTTTAAAAACTCTTTAATACTTGTTTTAGTTCGATGCCACAAACAGCAGGCCTATCCCGCAGCTCCAACCCTGCCGCCACCCCAGAAACAGCAGGCCTATCCCGCAGCTCCAACCCTTCCGCCACCCCAGAAACAGCAGGCCTATCCCGCAGCTCCAACCCTGCCGCCACCCCAGAAACAGCAGGCCTATCCCGCAGCTCCAACCCTGCCGCCACCCCAGAAACAGCAGGCCTATCCCGCAGCTCCAACCCTGCCGCCACCCCAGAAACAGCAGGCCTCTCTCGCAGCTCCGTCCTGCCGCCACCCCAGAAACAGCAGGCCTATCCCGCAGCTCCAACCCTGCCGCCACCCCAGAAACAGCAGGCCTCTCTCGCAGCTCCGTCCTACCGCCACCCCAGAAACAGCAGGAATATCCCGCAGCTCCGTCCTGCCGCCACCACCAACCATAAACATCTCAATCGGTGCTGATCATGTTGGTGAGAAACATGGAATTTGTACTTATTACCTAATGTTAACCGGGGTTTTATTTATGCCTTGAAATTTTTATTCTATTCAAATAAAAGAGTTAAAATGTTAAGTATGAAAACAGATGCTCTATATATTTAGATCACTTTTACTATTGGGGAGCCTGCTGTGCAACTTGTTTGCGGTCATATCTATTACAAGCAATGCATCGTGAAATGGTTTAGACTGGTAAGGCATTGTAAATTAGTTACAATGAAGCCAGCTCTCTAACCTGATTTAAATATGATTTGTATAACACTCGATTTAATTAATTGTGAAGGAAAAATTACATGATTTCAATACGGAGCATTATCCGAAATTGAAAACAAGGAATTTAAGCACTCTTCTTCGATGGAAGGCTACTGAATTCAGACTGTTTCTTTTGTTGAAACTGTCACCAAGCTTGGTCTCCCATGGCGACTTTGTCGTCACGACAAAATCGCGCGAAAAACTCGTCAAATGTGGCCCTAGCCAAAGCACAATGCTTTGTCAACAGCAGAGTTACTGGTATAGCCTATAATTTATTGCAACCTATTAAAAATACCTTAACAGTCTAAAACCATTTGACGATGCATGGCTCGTAATAGATATGATCGCAAACAAGTTGGAGAGCAGGCTCAGGCTCCCCTATGGTAAAGTGCTCTAAACATAGTACAGCACCTTGTAACTGAAATAAATAACTTAACTATAAAACCTGTTCTGCTAATTTAGCATTTGGAGGCGGTAAAAAAGCAAACGATTAAAGTTACAATTGTACTTAATATTTTAAAGTTCCAAACTCATCATCTAAGGCCAAACTGAAACTAGGCCCGCCCTTTGGGCTAGGGAGGGCAACTTACGATTCGTGTGGGAAGATCAACCGATGAACACCAAAAGCCTTAAGCCAAAAACAGATGCATAAACATGAACGAGAACCAAAGAGCACTCGACATACACCTCTAACCATGGGTTGAACATGACATAAAATAATGGCTTTTTAGTGTTCGCATCATTCTAGTTCAAATGAACCCCGTTCCACCCACAGCTAAAAGAGATAGTTCCCAAAGTGCCTTAAACGAGTCAGGATAGCACCTTTAGCGAATATATAAGGATGTAATCAACATAGAGACTAAACCTTTCGACAGTTTTTGACCGTAAAATAATGTGTGCAGTTATAAGGGCAACAAGTATGTGTCTGTCCCAGAAAAAATATATGACTTATACTGTATATGTTACTTGTCCCGTACGAGATAAAAATGGCGGTCAGCAAAGGATTTTCAAGATTAAGTTGGGAATAAAAAATTGTTTAGTGTAAAAAATATTTGTTGAATTCTGTTTGTACTATAGTCTTTTTAATTCATATTGGTTTAATTAATAATAAAAAAAAATATCTGAATATACAAGGTTATTGCAAATTATGTTACTGGTTTTGATTATAAGTATTACTGGGCTAATTTGTTTTAAGACTATTTTAGTTGATACCATTGAAAAGAAAAACTTATTTATTTGTTTGAGTGCATATCAGCTCTTTGTCTAGTCAATTGCTGTAAGTGTTGTGTAATGGATGAATTTGAAAACAGGAAAGTTTTTTTGTGTTGGGTTACCATGTTAACAAATCTGTTATTGTGAAACGACACTTTAGAGCAAGGTTCAATGAACATTCACCAAGTTATGTGAACATACATTATGCCAGAACATGGGGCTCAGAGAACCCTCACGCATACAATGAGCACGTGCCTGAAAGTTACTGTGTGTTGTCGCGTACAACAAAGTGTACGGACCTTTTTTCTTCATTAAAAAAACGGCAAATGGGTTAATTTTTTTGGACATGGTGACAAAATGGCTTCTTCCTCAATTAGAACAAGGTTTTGCAAATTTCATTTAGAAATTGAACTAACCACTTGGATTTAATGACTGAACAATGTGCTGCCTGAGATGGATATGGCGAGGTGGTCCGAACGATGACACACTCCTGAGCTGGCCTCTAAGATCTTCAGACACTCCACCTGTGACTTTTTCTTGCAATACAAAGATAAGGTGTACACGCCACCATTACCAAATAGCATACCAGAGACCTGGCGACGGGTTAGCAATGCTATAGAAACAGTGGATCAACACTCTTATCAAAGTATGGCAATAGCATAACTACAGTATTGACATCTGTCGTATCGCAAGTGGTTCCCATATCGAAGATTTATAGTTCTGTGTACCTAGGGACGAAATCTTTTGATTTTTCACGAGCTATACCATTTTATTTCTTAGAAAAAAAAATTTTTATGTACGCCTAAAATTATAAACATAATTTGTAATGACCCTGTATTATAAAATTATTTAGCCTAGATTTAGCCGTAGTGATACAAAAGTTAACACTATTTAAAACAATTAATTATATCACCATGTATATAATTCATTACTAATTTTATTTATTATCTTATCAACATTATTCTCCAAATCCTTGGCTGATTAAAATTGCAATGTGTGTGTGTGGTCAAGTTGAAAAATAAACATTTTCCAAACTATAACAATGAAATCGTGAGGTTGCATATTCAAAGAAGAAAGGGTCAATAACGAAAGTGTTTCCATTAAATTATTTTAAAAAAGTGCTGCTGATATTTTACAATGAAAAATCGAAGCAAGGAAGGGTATTAAAAACTATTGAAGATTAGTGAGATCGTAATAAAATAAAATTAGACTGTAATTCGTCCATATAGCAATCAGCTATTAAAAATTAATACCTTTTGTATAGATATAATCAATTGATAGCTACAATTTGATTTTTATTTGTTCTTTCCAATTACGTTTTCAAGATCTCAACAACTTCTAAGTGAAAAGTACAGCGGAAATCGAGCTGCAAAAAGCTTTTATAGGAAATCCGTCCAACTGCCCAACTCCAATCAAAGACGACAGTCGAGCATTTATTTCTCGACTTGTCAATTAATAATTTTCTCCAATGAGAAAGAAAGTGTTCGAAACCTTAACAGTTGCTAGAGTTGATATTTGTTTGAACATAAAAAATGGCACATACAGTACTGGGAATTTAAATTAATAAACATTACAACTACCAAGTGGGGTTTAAGACATTATTTAACATTTACATAATAATCCTAACTGTAATAAACTCTTCTCAATTTTTCTTTGGATAAGGTAAAAGCCCCTGCTTTCATATTTTATTGCTTATTTTACTATTCCATAATAATATCAGTTACGTATGAAGGCATAAGGTACAGTCAAAAAAGCGCAAAGGAAGAAATGTGAAAAGCACGATTTAATGGAAGAGGTTTAAATCTGATAAAATAAAAATTATGTTTACCTTTCAGCTATGTGATTATATCTTGACACCCTTGGTTTTAACGCATACGTAATCCGATTTAACAAAAGTTATAGGTTTTACATGCGATTAGAAATGTCAGTCATTGGGAACTCAATCCACGAATTGTTATAGATTGTTGACACCATTAAACTATAAGAGTTTAATATAAAGTAGACATCAACAGGATGTAAACATATATTTTTCCTTAGCTCTGTCTTTGATCCATATATTCACATATGATTCGCCCTAAAACCAGAGGCGAAGTGGATGTGATTTTATTACTTAAATTTTTTATTGGTTTTTTTATTCTTATCTTACCACTCTTGACCGAAACAAGTTTCCAACCCAGCTTATCCTAGAAGGTACTTTCAATCTTAGAGTTAAGTAAATCCATCTCAATGTAGAGTTTCTAAGGTCCAACTTTTACATTACAGCAAGGCAAGAGTAGTGGCGCGCTACAAGGAACCTATTTATTGGAAATCTTTTCAACTGTCCGACAACACTTAAACTGGTCTGGCTATTTGAACTGTTTTCATTTTCACTTAACTGTAATCGATTAACTTTATCGAAAGGATTTTAATTTTTGTTCGATTATAAAGTTATTTATTGCGCTGGACAAATGTACGGAATACGTACGGATAGCTGTTTTCTATTTTAGAAACCATATTTATTGAGTAGGCAATGATCATTTTATAATTATTTCTTTTTTCATTAATGAAGATGTGAATTTCAGACGGTAGTATGTTAGAAGGTCTTGATTACATTTACGATTCTGGATTGATTTTTAATTCATAGAATACATTTTTATTCATACTTTGTAATTGGCTAATAATAACATATAAGACTTTGTACCCATGTTATCGTCAATAACCTTTTTGTAGCTGCAGTTGATAAAAAATCTAATACAGGTAATTTGTATAGCAATCTATGTATTTTTAATGGTGTTTGAAAGTGTTTTGTTTGTATCGTCTGAAATATTTTCAAACATATTAACGTACATAATAAATATATTGAATTTAGCTAAATAACTTATCTAATAAATTTAATGTTTAATTCAATCCGAGAAAAGCTCGTTCTACTCGTACAGTCAATTTCTACCTAAGTGTTTAAGGTTTCAAAATAAAGTTCAAGAAGCAGTATAGTGTCTAAACTCTTAATAATAGAAGGTATATGATAGATGTTTCCGTAGTGAAAGCAAAGCTAATATGAAGATATCATCAAGGCTATTTAATATCATTCAAGCTAAACTAGGTATAAATACAGTATAAATTACGGATAATTGATTTCGTTAACTATCATTTTGTTGGTGAAAGTTGTATAATGTCCATATTTGCTATGGAAATTTAGCCGCAACTAACTCGTTTAGAATATGACCAATCGGAGAGGGATTAGCTGAAGCTTATATTCTACTAGATAATACAGTCGGTTTGTCCATTCGAAAATAAATTCCTAGGTTTGCAGAGAGTATCTATATCAAACTATATCAGAAAGACACCATTGGTGTCAGACAATCTCATTTCTCCAGACACAGAAAATTTCACTTTATTCAACTTACGGCTGGCTGTACCATATGAGGTAAAGCAAAATTGGAAGCACATTTGCAGAAATAACGCCTTTCATATAGATCGGAAATTATGATGAAAAACTAGTTCAATACTTCAAAATAAAGCATGTG